ATTATTATTATTATTATTATTATTATTATTATTATTATTATTATTATCATAATTATTATTATTATTATTCCTTTCCTACTACTCGCATTAATCAATTTTATTTGGAATTATTTTCCTTATTCGTTTATTTATCATTTATTCGTACAAATTATTATTATTACTGTTTTTTTTCCTTTTTTTTTTTGTTATTTATCTGCCAATCATTGGTTCTGTTTACCATTTATTTCCTATTTTTATTTATCTATTTACTAGTTTTTACCATTATTTGCTTGCTTCTCATCTAATTTATCTAATTAACAACCTACTTATAATTATCTTATCACTTCAATAATTGTTGTCCACCTTTTTAACACAATATTTTAAAATAACTCTAAGTGCATTTTTCTTCAATTTTTTTTTTTTTTGACAATCCTTCAAAATATTATTTCTAATAATCATTTTAATAAAAAAAAAAACCTTAAATTTGTTTTTTTCTTACACTTCCACATATACATGTTTATTATAATTATGCTTAATTAGATTAAAAAAAAAAACAGATATATGTATTGATTTTTGTGAAGTAAAGAAAAAAAAAATTGGAAAATTTTAATAAATAATTTTAGTACTTCAAATAAATGTATAGTAATTAATGCACGTGAAACTGCTCCAGCAATAGCAAATGAAACAATGTTCAATGATACACCAGAAGATGTTTTAAGAGGTTTGCTAAAATTTGTTTTTATTTAAATTTGTTTTAAATTTTTTTTTTCGGATAGAGTAAACTAATATATACTAATAAAGTATGGTAAATTGATTTCTAAAGAAGAATAATTTTACAACATATAATCTTATTATAATTATTCTAATAATTTAATAATTTACATTAAATTTTTGTTAATTTCTATTAATTGCGCCAGTTTGCAACATTTTTTATATTTTTTTTAATTCTTTTACAATATCATTTTATATTTTTATATTGTAATTGAATTTTTATATTGTTAAGTTTATAATAAATTAAGTTATTTTTTATTGTTACAATTAAATTTTTATGTTTTTAAGACTATAATGAATTAAGTTTGTTTTCATATTATAATTAAATTCTTATTATGTTATAATTAAATTTTTAATATAAATTCTTACATTGTTAGGAATATAATAAAGCATTCATAAATTTTCATTTTAAAAAATTTGAAATTAAAAAGAAATTGAAGAAATTTATATCGTAAATTAAAAAAGTTTTTTTTTACATTTTAGGATATCGTTCTATTGCAACACCATCTGAATTACATGGATTATGGACGATATTTTCACATTTTGGAAGTGGTAAAATATCATGGTATCGATTATTTCAACCATCAATTGAATTAGCACTGGAAGGATTTCCGGTATCAGCAGATTTAGCGGAGAAACTTGCTATAGGAGAAAAGATTGTATTAGCTGAACCATCATTAAAGTAAAATTTATACTTTAAAAATTTCCCTTAGAAGATAAAATTATGCGAAATTTCTTTTTTTTAAATAATTTTATCAGTCGTTCTCTTTCCAAAAAAAAAAAAGAAAATTTTATTTGTTAAAATGATAAAAAAAAAATAATGAGAAAAGAAAGTATGAAAGTTAAAATGATAATTGATAATAATTAATCGTTAATTAATTAGTGATAACCAATGATAATTAATCATAAATTTAACTTTACTTCATTTTATTTTACCTTATTATTGATAGAAAAATGATGGAACATTTTATTAATTGAGTAAAAATAATCGAACAAGCTAAATTTTTTTTTAAAAAAAAAAAAAAACATAATAAAATACATGAAATTTTTATTAGTTTAAAAAAAAGAAATGAAATAAGATTAGCTTAATTAAAACAAAAAAAAAAGCTAATAATCTATTTTAGGAAAATATTTGTGAATCCAAAAACTGAAAAGGTATATGAAGAAGGTGATATTATTACAAGAGATCATTTAGGTGCAACATTACAGCATATTGCAAATAGTTCTGATCCAATACAACTTTTTTATCGTGGTAATTACTTTTTAATTATCTTTTTTTTTAAAGTAATTTATTTTATTTTATATTTCATTTTGCCAATATTAATTTTTAAATCATAATTAAGATAATCAATAAGTATTGCATTTTAAATATTGCTAAATAAATGAATATCGAGAATTTACAAATATTATGCATTATCAAATATTATTATGATTGATAGTATAATTGTTGACAAATCAACAAACATTTATTGTTATTTTTGACAAAAAGAAATTTTAATTTATCATTATGATCCAATTTAAATGTTATTTTTTGGTTAATAATTTGACAAAATGACAAAAATATTCAATAAAAATAAAATGTTAGAAGAAAAAAGACAATTATAAAATGAAAATTTGGGAGAGAGAAGAAAAAAAAAGTAATAATTTAGAAAAAAATTTATTTTATTTTTTGCTCTTTTTAGCAATTTTCCAAATATTCTAAAAATTGTGCTGTTTTTTTTTTGGCTCAAAGAAAAAAAGAAGTTAGAATTATTGAAATATATTCTGATATTGGATGTAGAAAACAAAAAAAAAAATCACCACAAAAAGAACTAGTTCATTTAAGTTTTAAAAAAAAAAAAGGTACAGGAGAGATTATCTTAAAGTTCAGCAATTAAATTGTTTTTTTTTTTTAAATCATCCAGCTAATAAATATATCATGTTGAAATGATCAATTAAAATCATGGATGTTATAAAAATAAAGTATAAATTAAGTAAACATAATGATTGGTATATATATATATGAGTTTTCATTATGCTAATTAACTGTTATACAAAATAGATTATAAGTTCTAAAACTTCAGATGTGAATAGGTAGTAAAAAATAAGCGGATGATGATTAAAAATGGATTATATCTTATGTTAAGTGATAAATGGCAATATATCTTATGCTAAGTGATAATATCTTAACACTAAATGACACATATGATGTAAAAGGATTACAAATTTATAACGTATGACATATTTTTGTAACAAAAAAAAATAGCTATAATCAATTATTTAATGATTAAAATAGCTGTGAAAAGTATTTGACCTAACATGAAATGAACGTATTTTTTAAAGATAGCAAGATATATCCGGATCGTCATAGTGGAATAGATCCGGATTATTTTGTTAACATGCTGATATAGCTATGGTATAGTTACAATTTTAAGCAATGTAATTCTATCAATTTTCGTTTAATAGTTTATTTTTTCTAATATTATACAATAAATTTAGTCCTAAAATGCTAATATTTTAAGGTGGCATTGCGCAAACAATTGCTGCTGAAATTGAAGAACATGGTAAGATCCAGTACTCTTTACGATTAATAATCCAAAAATGGTTCTTTTTTTTTATTCTTAATATATTACGTAACAAATGTTATATTGTATACTGGATCTGATTCATATATAAAACTTTCTGAATGAAATCTAAAATGATGTATTAGATGATAAATTTTGCCTGATAAATTTTGGTTAAACTATTTCATTTGACATAAATTTTATCAAAAAAAAAAAAAAGGAAAAAATTTCACACTATATTCGATGCTAAAATAATGAAATCATTTTGATATTTATTAAAATGTTTCGATTATTTCATTTTCAGGTGGTTACATATCCATGGATGATTTAAGTAATTATGAAACAAAATTAAATGAAATTCCAATTATTACCGAACATTTCCTTGATAATTATGCTATATGTGGACCACCACCACCAAGTTCATCTGCTATCACACAAAGTATCATATCAATTATGGCTGGTAAATATATTTGATGATATTTTTTTCTTCTTTTATTATTGATTAATTCAATAATAAAAGAATTTTAATTTCAAAACATTGTTAAATTTTTTTAAAAAAAATTAAACTTAAAATTTGCTAAATTACTTCTCACTTCTTCTGAATGTTTAATAAAATAAATTAATTTCAAAAAGAATCTAAAACATATTCAACGTTTACATATTACTAACTATTTTTAATCGATATTCTATAATATTTGAAATTGTTTAAATCAACAATTAACTTAATGATTTTCTTTCTTTTTTTTATTTTTTCAGAATTTTATGATGGAAAGAGTGAATTTGATAGAGATGATCCATTATTTTATCATCGTTTAATTGAAGCGCAAAAGTTTGCATATGCTCAAAGGACAAAACTTGGTGATGCAGCATTCGTACCAGAAGCTCAACAAATTGCCGAAGAGATAATTAAAAGGTGAATTAAACAAAGTGATTCTGACAAAAAATTACAAATATTTTCAGAAAATTACCAAAGAATGGAAAAATGTTTTTTTTTTTTCTACCTTAATATGCAAAATCTTACCTCTCATTTCTTCTTAGATGTCTTCACATTGATTATCATTATCGCTAATTAATTAATTGATTCATTCATTTATTATTATTATTATTATTATTATTATTATTATTATTATTATTATTATTATTGATTATTACTATTCTCAGTTAATTTCAAGTATCAGTATAATTATTATTACTATTCCCTAATTCTCTAATTTTTAACTATTCTCTAAATTTAAGCATCAGTATAATTACTATTACTATTTCTCTAATTACTATTACTATTCTCAGTTAATTTTAAGTATCAATATAAACATATCAGTACAATTTGATTTATTCAATTATTTCAAACTTTACTTAATTTTATTCATTTTTATTGCTTACCCAAATTTAAAATTTTTTAATCCGTTTTTTTTTTTTGTTTTATTAATTAAAATCGAAGATTTTATTCCATTTGCAAAACTTTTCAGTTCTTATGTGAAACGTATCAAATCACTGATCAAGAATATATCACAGTCATTGGATACGTATGGAATGGATTTATTCCAACAACCGGATGATCACGGTACATCACATGTATCAGCAATCGATCAGGATAATAATATTGCGGTTTCATGCACAAGTACCATTAACCGCATGTAATGTTACTTTTTATTGACCTAAAATGATAAACGAAATTAATACTGTTCAGGTTTATTGATTTTTTCGTACTGCAAATATGATAATTGATAAGATTAATGATTAGACGGAAAATTATTCGTTCATTTATCCAATCGTAATCTAGCTTACTTAGATTACAAATGTAGTTTTCCTAATTTTTGAGGAATGAAAGAAAAGAAACTAAAAGGAGAGAGATTAGGGAAACTATTTGAGAGTATTCTTAATAAATATCGATGTTTTAAAATAGGTTTATTGATTGATTAGTTTTTTTTTTTCTATATATTATAAGCATCAATTAGTTAATTATAAAGTATTTTTGAAAAAGAAATTGCAAAGAATAGTTAGAATACATTTTGAAGCTTTTCACTGTTATTTTATTCTTTGAAGCAGTGGTTTTCAACTGGTAATTCGCGGGAAAGCGGGAAAGGCTGTATGTGGTGGGGAAACAGGAGAGGACCATTTTCTTCTTCTTGTTTTTTTTTAAAGCTAATTCATTGATGGCGCTTTGTGAGCAGACAGAGAGATTTGGCTTATAATATTATGCTATTAGTACTTCATGACCTCATCCTCGTGTTAGATTATATCTTTCTTCTTAACCTCACTTTTTTTTTTTACATGCCGAATTTCATCGTCTTGTATGGTCGATCATTTCCTCTTTTCCTTCTCATTACTTTTTTCTATAATACCGTAATAATTTTATTCTTACCGTAATTTCAATTTCAATAATCTAACAATCTCAAAAGAGAAACTCCTCAAATCTGCTGTTTTATTCTTTTATTTTTTGAGAAAATAGCGCGCAGCAATAGTTATATCAAATTTAAATTTACCCTTATTGAAAGGAATGGGGAAATGAAACTACAGTATGTGTTATATATGGTAATATTTTTTGAAATGATACTTTTTAATTTATCAAAAATTAAAAAGTATTTAGAAACAAATAGTTTCATCCTGACTTATTTGACTAACCATTAGCATTCTTTAAAGGGAAATTACAATTATAAAAAATGATGAAACTTTTTTTTCAGCCTAATGATACAAAATTTGCATTTTTGGTCAAAAAAAACATCCGTTGCATTATTTAAAATATCAA